CAGGGGCGCCTACTCCGGCTGCAGGGGAAGCCCAAAGCCGAGCCGGGCTCCGGGGAAGTGTCCTGACCCGCCCCAAACTCCCTTACCTGCAGTACCATCTGCAGTGTTTCCCCAAAGAAAGGGAAGCCCATAGTCCCGGGGGGCAAAGGGAGGGCGCAGCTGCGGTCGCGGCTGCTCACGCAGTACAGATCCCAGAGTTTGATCGCTGCCAGGAAGAGCAGCAGCGGTAGCACGAAGGTGCAGAGCGCACTGGCCAGAAGCGCGGGCAGCCCCATGGCGCGCCGCAGCCTCCCGCGCCACCTGCCGCCGCCGCAAGCGCTCCCAACCCCGCTGCGCACCCGCTTTATAGGCGGCCCAGGTTGCTGCCCACGTTACCTTGGTCAGACAAATTAGTTCACCCAAAGTTCATCTTTAATTACGGATTGGGCCCCTGGCTCCTCCCCCCGCGAGGCGCTGCCCAAAATCTTTAACCGTTTGTTCCGCGCCCAGGCAGAGGCGGCGCGGTAGCGGCTTCGCTCGGGACGCGCCTCCTGGGGTGCGGGGCTAGGAGCTGCCCGCCTCCCCCATCCAAGGTGTGCGGAGCTCCTAGACCGCCCTGTCGCCCCAGGCTCCGGGGAGCTGGAACTCTAAGCCCTGGCCTTCCCGGGCACTCTCTTTGGAAACCCTCACGCCAGGTTCGACGTGCCATCCCAGCCCAGGGCAGCCTTCAAGGGCTTTGCATTTACAGGCGCCAGGTGGGCTCCCTTCCACCTACTGGGGAAGTGCATTCAGGGACCGCCCAGCTGCTTCGCCCCAGAGGTGATGAAATTGAGGTCCAGAACGTAGAGCAAAAAGCAGGGCTCCCGACTCTTCCGAAGATCCCGCAGAAGAGCCCAGGGCCAGGGCCCAAGCGGGAGCGGCGGGGAGTTAGGCATGACCGGTGGAAGGTGAATCCCAGCTCCCCAGCCCCCGCAAGAGGGCTCGCACCCATGAAGTCTTGGAAGGTTCTACTTAAGGGTACAAGAGAACCTCCAGGTCCCTCGGGACTCCACGTGCAACCCTGACCCCCAACCCTGACGTCCCAGTGGGGCACAGCGGGGACAATTCATCAGCAGCTCCGTAATCGGCGCCACACTCCGCGATCTGGCCACAGCCCGCTAGATTCCGAGGGTCCTGGCCCTAGTTAGTACGCAGCCGGATAGAGGGTCTTTAGCCCTGGCAGGAGATAGAGGAAGGAAAGCTCCGAGTCCTGGCTCCATCTGTACTTGCGTGACCTTGCGCAAGTCATCAAACATCGTTGTGCCTGCTTCCTCCTCTTTAATATGGGGGCGATTATTCCCGGTCTGCCTACATTTTGGGGTAGTTGTGAATTCCCCAAAGGGGTCTCTGGTTGCAAATATTCCTCCGGTTCCAGGCACCCTAGGCTGCGTTACCAGGACCGCCTGGACGCAGACACACTGGAGCGTTCCTCTGCTCTCGCAGCTCAGACCCAGCTCAGAGCCACTGCCCCCACCCAGGTGGGAGGAGTGTTCGGCCCACAACCCAGACCTCTGCCGGCAGCTAATGGGAGGTTTGGGGGAAACCGTACTCGGATGTGGGTCTCCTGGCCTTTGCTAAACTATGAGCTGCAGCTGCAGCCAATGCTTGGCGCCCTGGCACTGCTGGGAGCGCAGGTGCGTTCCCCGCTTCCCACTTGGCGGAGCCACAAGTCTTTGGTCCAGTCAGGGCCACACGCTCCCCTGGTTTGGACACTGAACGCACTAGCAGCGCCGAAAACAAAACAGAATTGTGTACATATGTTTAAAATTGAACACAGCTCTCGCAGGAGCACGCCACACGCCTTGGAAAGCGTCCTTTGGTGATAGAAAGCTGTTTGACCCTGAGAACTGTTAAAGACGTGGCTCTCTTGCGGTGTCCGGAAACCTAGCGGGGTCGGAAAATGTCTGCGAAGATTATAGGGACTCGCAAAGTCCGGGCTGTGGTCACCAGGGGTGTGTTTCAGAGGCTCTGAAGAGGGGGTCTCTCCCACTGTCATTTCGCCTAACGATTTGGTGACTGTAAACAGTGCAAGCAAACTCCTGGGAACCCTCAGGAACTGGGGTGAGTAGCGCAAGAGGTAATTCTCAGAAATCCTGGGCCCACCCCTTTCTGGACAGTGCCTCTGACCAGTGAGCAAAGCTGGTGAGCAGAGGCGTGACCTGGGGCCCATTCCCAATCCTCCGGCCTGACCCGCCTGTGACCCCTACAGACCGGACCGTGACATCCGGGTGAACTCTGCGAGGCCAACTCGCCAAGTTCAGCGCGCGCCGGGTTACAAGATGAGCAGGGCCTGCTCTCTGGAAATAGCCACAGGGGAAAAAAATTTATCTATCTACCCATCCAGACCGGCGGGGGCGTCGGGCAGGAAAGGATGAAACGGTAATGAGTGAAAGAGATCATTAAAGAACATCTTGAAGGGGAGGAGGGTGTCAATAAATTACCTACCCAGTAAGAACTTTGATCTAGGAACTTCTCCAAGCTTTCTTGGGTGGTGGTGGTCGGGAAGGGGGTTTGGTTCACTGGAAAACAAAATGTTCCCCAAATGTTTACAAAACAGTCTCCTTGTTTCTAAGGGTTAGGGAGGAGAGTTGCTTTTTCCTTGGGGAGAGAGGATGAGGACCCAAGAGGTAGACTGGAGTCAAACGAGCTAGAGCAGCCGATGAACCCCTCCCCCACCTTTCTCCCTTCAACCCCCTTCTTCCTAGCTCTTAAACACACTCATTCCTGCCTTGGGGCTTCTATACATGCCGTTCCCTCTGCTTGGGATGCCCCTCCTCCAGGTCGCCCTGGCTGGTTCCTTCCCAAAGTCGAATGTTACCTCCTCAGAAAGGCCTTCCCGGTTCACCCAGTGAAGCTCAGCCCCGAGGCACTCTGTATTACCTCGCCTGTTTTATTGTCTTTACAGCACCTATAGCATCTGACATATTCTTGCTCTGTTGTTTGCTCTTTTATTTGTCAACCTCCTTCATCAGCACATCAAGTCCAGGAGGGCAAGAATCAGGCCTGCTGTTCTCCAGCTGATTTCAAAGCTCCTAAAACCGGAGCTCATATATTCTTTATATTACTGAATATGATGTACCAATGGAAAATTAAAGTACACTTAAAGTCACCGCTACAGGGGCTTATAGTTAGTCCAGACGACAGAGCAGATAAACCAGGTCTGTTGGAACCAGCTCGAGGGACTATTCTGCTTCTGAGAGCCTCCTCATCGCCAAATCAAAATCAACCCCGAGGCCAGAAACCCCAGCGGCCTCACTCAAACCCATTCCGCGCTTCCGCGGGCCGCAGTCCTCTCCGCGGCCTCAGGAGCGCCCTGAGGGCAGGCCGTCGTTCTGCCCACCTTTGCCGCCCCTGGCGCCCGCCGAGTTCAGGGCTTGGCGCCGGCCTGTGCGCTGCAGTAGGTGATGAATTGCCCCGGATGGGGGTTATTGCGGTGTCAGTTGAGCTCGGAAGGGCCCGCTGCGCTCTTGAGCCACCGACTCTGCGCACGCCAGCTGCGTCCCCCCTTCCTTCTGGCCCCGGGATCCACCTTAAGCATAAGGTCAGGAGGGCACCAGCTTCCTTCTGGTTCACTAAGGGGTCAGCTCGGGCCTGAGTGGCAACTTTCCTGGCTCACCCCTCATGTCCAGCTTCCTGGGCCTGTCGGAAGATGGGTGGTAGTTTGCAGGTGCGCTTCTGGGAATGGCGGGAAGGTTCTGGGCTTTGATTTAAATACTGGAAGGAACCTCAGTGTTAGAAAGGCTCAGAGAGAGCCCTTAAGCCAAGACAAGGATCACTATGAAAGGAGAAAAGAGCTCAGTCCTACATGATGGCCAAGGGTCCAAGGCTGGGGCGGGGGTAAATGATGGGGTAGAGGGGGCACTGGCTGCGGAGTCCAGGAGCCTGTTGCTGGTTCCTCAGGCGAGTCATTTGCCTCACTTACTCCTCAGTTTATCTCTGCAACAGAAGGAGGTTGAGGCAGGAATCCAGGACGTCCCTGTAGCCAGCTACCGCAGAGATAATTCACCTCCCAGCTTCTGGCTCCAATCCTCCCCGGGCATTCGCTGGGGTGGGTCCTTCCCAGGGTCTCCCCTACCCTCCACCCCGCGCCTTCCCAGGGAGTAGTGCCCAGCTAAACCTCTAGCCTCCTTCCTCAACCGCTGCCAGGAAACTTTATTTCTTGGCCTTCCTGTTTTTACTACAAATATCCCAAACCTCTCTGATTATGTCTCAGTCTCCATGAAAACAATCAGACTTAGAGACCTCTCTGTGTGCTACTTTCTCCTGTATAAATGGGAAGATTAAACGCGTTCTTGAAATAGGAATTTTTCTTTTAAGAAGTCGCCAGCAGAATCCGGTGGCGTAGAGCTGTTTAGAGCCCTGGAAGCTCCTGCAGTTCTGGGTTTCCGCCGAGACCAGCAGAAGTGGCCCGGCCTACGAACCCGGAGGCCAGCTGCCTGTAGACCTTCCGTTAGGTGCCCTCTCCATGTGTCTTCCTAAGGTTCAAAGCCAGTCCAGGGCCGCACTCGCGGAGTCCCTGCTTCCAGCAAGGGTTGCAGATTCTGCCTCGTGCGCCGGCTCTCTGGCACCGACTGCGAGGCGCAATCCTTCCCGCCGCCCCGCGAGCCATGTGCCCTCCTGGGACTGGCCCCGGAAGGCGAGGCCCAGGTAGTTCCTAGTTGAGATCTGTTCCCTCCATTCCTGCTTCGCTATCCTGTGAAGGGTTTAAGAAGCTTCGCCCCTGACTTTTCCTTCCTCAGGGCGCGGAGCGTAGGAGGCACCTTCACACCGGCCTGGGCGCTTCTCCCTCGCCGCAGCCGTGGCTCACAGCTTGCTCCCGCACGGCGTCCTTCAGAGTCCAGCACAGAGATACATTTGGTGAACGTTTGTTGAACCAGTGAGCAAGTGAGTAGCCGCCGGACCCAGCACTGGGAAGCAGCAGATGGGCTGCGCTGAATGCGTGCCGCAGCCACTGGCCAAGCGGTGACACGCAGCGCTGCGTGTCAGAGACGTAGCCCATCCCCCGCGGCCGAAGGCGCGAGCGGGTGGAAAAAGAGCTGCAGCCCATCCACCGGGTGCAAAATGGGCACGGTTTGCATAGCGGGGAAGGCGGGTGTGGCCAGCTCCCAGCGCGCTGTGCGCACCAGCTCCGCTGTGAGCAGCTGGAGCATCGCCTGCGCCAGCTCCTGGCCGAGGCAGCTACGCGCACCGCCGCCGAATGGGATGTAATGGAAGCGGCCCGCGGATCCTCGCGCATCATCGCGCGCCGCGCGGAACCGCTCGGGGTCGAAGCCTTCGGGCGGGCTACGGTACACCGCGGCGGTCTCGTGCGTGTCCCGGATGCTATACATCACGCTCCAGCCCTTGGGGATCTGGTAGCCCTGCGGGGAGGCGAGGAGACCGGCCTGACCAGGAGGCACCTGGAAACCCGGTAGAATCGACCCTCCACTCCAGGTGCATCGAACAGCCTCCCTACAACCGCGGGAACGCGCTACTAATCCGGAAGCCAGCAAGATGCTTTCCGTTCCAATCTCAGCTCGTTCTGTATGTAGTTAGCTGTGTGACCTTGGGCTAGATACTCAATATCTCTGATCCTCAGTTTCGTAATTGATAAAATGAGGACAAAAATGTCCACTTTATTGTTGTGAGGATTGGAATAAAGTATCTGGCACATATATTAATGTTCAGTGAATGGGATTGATTATTATTTATGTCCTCGTGTTTTATTTTTGTCTTTTTTTTTTTCCCTGACATTAGCTCATGAGACCTAAATTCTAGTTTGCATCTACCTAAATTCTAGTCCTAACTGGGCAGGAACAACGCAAATGACAGGGACCCCAGTTCCTCTATGGTCAGCTCAATTTAAAGCTCTTCTTTGTATTGAATTGAAAATTGCCTCCCAGTCCTTCCTGCCCATTAAAACCAAAATACCAAACCGGCTGTGTCCAGTTGATTCCGACTCATGGCTACCCCATGTGTTACAGAGTATAACTGCTCCATAGGCTTTTCTTGGCTGTAATCTTTACAAGAGTAGATTGCCAGGACTTTCTTATGTGGTGCCACTGGGTGGGTTTGATCTGCCAGCCTTTAGGTTAGCAGCCTAGTGCAGGGACCTTCCCACCCATTAGCTGGTCAATAATGTTCAGATCTGGTAGCCACACTTTAAGAAGGTCCACGTGAGAATTAAACTGGGGAGTCCTTAAAATGTTGGAAGGCAGTTTTCATGGTCTCTCTCCCTCTCCCAGCTTTTAAAATCATTCCTCTTTCAGACCTGGTTTCTAACCCCGTCTATCCTGCTACCCTCCCCTCTACTGGCTTCAGGGTGTCTAGTCAGTCTCCCAAGAGGTGGACAGAACATTTTGGAATCACCCAAGTAGTGCTCTCTCTTCTCGGGACCTCAGTTTTCCCATCTGTAAAGTGGAGGGTAGCCAAGATCTTTCCCCCAGCCCTCACCCTGCATGGCCTGTGCTCTTCTCCCTCTGTTTCCCTAAGGTCTTTTTGGGCACACTAGTGCCTGCAGAATGAAGTCTGAATCCCTAGACACTGCATCCAAGACACTTTTAGACATCTCACTGATCCTCCTACTTTTGCCTGGCTGTTCCCTCTGGTGCACTGTTCCCATGCCAATCCTTCACTAGCCCAGTTCAAATGCCAGTTTTCAAAATGTTTTCGTGTCCTACAGCACAGTTGGGGATGAAGCTGCCAGCCCTCTCTCCACCTCCGGCTCCTTGAGGGCAGAATCCCAGCCCCTTTGATGCCCGCGCAACGTGCCATGGATGTTTGCTGCTTTAAGTGTCAGGGAAGGAGGTGCCCCCTCTCTGCCTCACGTGGACCTACAGCCACAACCTTCCAGGCAAGCATCATCAGTTCAGCAGCGCAAGGGCGCCACTCTCTGATGCAGCCGCCATGCCACACAGCCCCAGCCCCACCTGCAGTGTCAGAGCCAGAAAGGACTAAAACAGCCTCTTCCTAGAGGGTAAACTGAGGCTCAGGGTGGGAAGGAAACTGTCCAAGGTCATACAGAGATGGAGCCAGGCCTAGATCTTAACCTTGTCCAGCCCCAGCCAATCCGATCAGACAATTAAAAGAGTCAACCCCATATTTTAATTGCCGCGCTTTCCTGGAATCCGGGCTCTGCGGGGACCTGGACAGGTAATCGTAATCAGTTTCTTGATCTTGTGAGGGAGCCAGAGGGGTGGGGTACGGGCTATACTGGGGGGCTCTCTTTGTTCCCCACCCAGACTTACTGGCTGGAGCGGGGTTTGCTCGGAGAAAAGTATGTTTTTATTCTAACTCAGCTCTAATTGAGTTGACGACCCGGGCCTCTCCAAAACGGCCCTTAACCCTGCCGGTTCGCCAGGCGCCAGGTTTCGCGTCCCGCAACCCGAGATCCAGGCGGGTGAGACAGGGTTCGGCCCACTCTACAGGCGGGAAAGCCGAGGCTCTGAGAGACGAAGGAAAGAGACCTCGCCGTCCTAATCCCACAGCCCGCCCCAACCCCCGCCCCGCAGAGGCGGCAGGATGCCGGCAGCGGGATGGGCGAGGCGCACTTACGTCGAGCTCGAAGGTGCGCAGTGCTGTGCGGTAGCCCCCGGACACCGGCGGCAGGAGGCGCAGCACCTCCTTGACCACGCAGTCGATGTAGCGCAGACGGCCCAGAGCCGCGAGGCTGAGGTCTGGCTCGCAGCCGCAGTCGGGCCGGAGCCCTGAGCCGCCCCTTGCGGCCCCGGGCGCACAGCTGCACGCGCGCTCTAGCCCCTGAGCCCCCAGCTCCTGCCGGATCTTGACGATGGCTGTCGGGTGCTGCAGTAGCAGCAGGATGAGGGACGTGCTGGCACTGGCCGTGGTGAAGAAGGCGGCGAAGAGTAGCTCCACAGCCGACTCCTGCAAGACATTCCGGGCGGCGCTCAGACTCGGTCGGCGGAGTCACCTGGGGCAGTGATCCGACGGCTCCATGGCGGGGACACAAAATCACCGCATTTACCATTGAGCAAAGGCCGGCGAGCCGAGACTAGCTACCGTGGCGGCTGCGAGTTGATTGAATCCCAAGTCTACCTCTTGAGAAAGTCACATATAGCAACACGGGAAAAACAGGATCTATCCACTTGTCTTGGGAGGATTCCGAGAGATAATGCTAGGAGCTTATTCTGTGCACTATTCTTAGTGCTTTAAATATATTCACTTACTCAAATCTCACCTCAACTCTGAGGCACAATTACCGCCCTCGTTCTAACAGGTTTGAAAACTGAGGCATGGAGAGGTTGTCTTATGCAAAGGTTCCTACAGCTGGTATTCCCAGCAATCAGGCTCAGGAGCCCAGTGCTCTTAACCACCTCAAGGTGCTGCCTCCAACACCACCTGTGTGTCCTGTTACTGACCACACACAGATGGCCGGACGGCCGCAGCAGTGCCAGCCGCGCGCAAAGGCGAACATCATGACTTCGGGTTTCCAGGCTTACTGGAGTGGTCTCAGTGAGTCACTAAGCCTCTTCCTCTCCAGCCCTGCTCAGGAAAGGCAGAGAAGGGACCTGGTGGATTTTATCCTCCAGGCCCCAGTCGTTACTCCTGCTTCTCTCCTCCCAGGTCCTGGTGGGTGTCTTCCTTCCTAGCAGCCCCCACAGTTTGTGTTTTCACACTGACTGTGTGGTCACAGGATGAATGTGTACCTCTCCTCCCTGCACCAAGGGCCCAACCCATCCACTGCTGGAGAGTCATTCCGACTCCTAGCGGCCCTGTAGGAGAGAGCAGAACTGTCCCATAGGGTTTCCCAGGCTGGAATCTTTATGGAAGCTGACTGCCACATGTTTCTCCTGCACCGAGGCTGGTGGGTTTGAACCACCAACCTTTCAGTTAGCAACCAAGCACTTCAATCACTGCGCCACCAGGGTTCATTACCTCAAGGGCAGAGGCTGTGTTTTGCCCACAGCTGTATCCTTCAGCCCCAGCACAAAGCCTGGCACCAAATAGGTACATAATAAAATTTGTGGAATGAATGACCTGGTCTGAGGCCAAAATTGCCCACCCTGTCCCAGACAAGATGGAGAGTCAGGCAGGATGGAGACCCCAGGGCCCCAACATCCTCCTTAGTCTGCCACTGACATCCATGCCAGAACTGAAGATTCTTGACCAGTGGGTTCCTTCCTAAGAACCCTGAGGTTCTTGGCACTGGTCACCCCCTCCTTAGCCCTGACAAGAGAAAGGGACCATCCGCTCCTTTCCATATCACTCCCCTTCACAGCTCAGAGATGTCTCATCCACCTGCTCCTTTGAACCAGCTCGACTCCTCTCAACTTCACAACCACCCAGGAGTCAGGACAGAGAGTATTAGCCCCATTCTCAGAGGAGAAACTAAGGCTGAGCCCCACTCTTTCAGCAGCTGGTGGCTGGAAAGGGGAAAATGAGGCCCAGAGAAAGGATGGGAGTTGGGGAATTGCTTAGAGAAGGATTGAGGTGTTCCCATATCTAATTTTCTCCGTCCCTCAAGGGCCTCTCTACTCTTTTGCAGGTTCTCAAGCGAGCCCTAGGGCCACTCAAAGGCTTCCCTCCTTTCTTCCTGCATGTGTTCTATGTCTAGATAACCACAAGTTGTCATTGAATCGATTCCAACTCATGGTGACCCCACATGAGTCAGAGTAGAACTGTGCTGCATTGGGTTTTCAAAGGCTAATTTTGGGGATGTAGATCACCAGGTCTTTCTTCTGAGGTAACTCTGGGTGGACTCGAACTACCAAGCTTTTGGTTACAGCTAAGCATGTTAACCATTTGCACCACTGAGGGGTCCTAATTCTCCAGGAGATTTCGCAGTGGCAAAACAGTCAGGTAGAAGTCACCAGCATTAAAAAACCAGATGCCAAGGTGGCTCATGGAAGAAGAGTGTTGATTTAGGGAGGAAGGGGGAGCTTCAAGGAGGATGTGGAGTTTGACCCTGAGCCCTTTAGCGTTTAGAGAGGAAAGAAGTGAAGAGGCTTCACAGTCAAAGAAACAGCAGAGGCAGCGGCATGACTGACAGAGAAGGGGAGAGGGGGGTGTTTGTGGCCAGAACCTGTAAGGCGGGTCATGCTAGGATTCATACTTCAACCCTCTACTGAGGGTCCTAGAGAAGGGCAGAGACTGGCCAAGGGCACACAGCTAGTGGGTGTAGCTGAGCCAAGACTGGGACCTAGGTCTCCTCTTTCTGTTCATCTTGAGGAGTGCCTGTTGCTCGGAGTGAGGCCAAACAGGAATGTGGCTCTGGGGCAGCAGCATATGTGTAAAAAGCTGCTGGCAAGGAAGGCGAGGGAGAAGGAGAGGCCTCCCTCCCACCACCTACCTTCAGTTCCTGCACTGAGAGCTCATGGCCAAGTTCTCTGGCGCTGTGGATGATCAGGTCTAGGGCATCACCTGGCTCCTCAGCTCTGTCCTCACGAAGTTTCTCTGCAATGGCCTCCTCCAGGTGCTGATGCAGCTGGTCCCGAGCCCGGATGCCCTGATGGTCAGGAAGAGAAGGAGTAGGGCAGGAAGGCTCAGGGGGCCAGGCTTGGACACCTACCCAAAAACTTTCCAGGGCTGTGCTGACTCTGCCAAGGTCCTGCTGTTGACAGTCTTCCAGCCTAGCTTTGTGCCTGGCACTTAGTATGTTCTAAGCATTAGCCTCTGGAAAGGGGTGTGGACAAGAAGTTCAGAGAGCAAGCACAAGCAAAAGCACGACTATATCAGCTTGGAAAGCAGTGTAGTTGAACACTTGGGTTTTGGAGCCAGAGGAGATCTGGGTTCAAATCCCACCTCTGTGCTCTTCTAGCTGTGTGATCTTGGGTAAGTAATTTAACCACTCTGAGCCTCAGTTTCTTCATTAAAAAAAAAAAAAAAGGGTGGGGGATAATAACACTTTGCAGGCTGAGAGTATTGAATTCGACAATGTATCCAGGATGCTCAGCCCATAGTATGCCCCTTTATAAAACCAAACACTTTGTGGTGGAGTCGATTCAGACTCATAGCATGCCTCTTTGTACATATCTATTATTTTTATCCAGGTGACTGAAAACCAGGGAATAGGCACAGTGAGAATACCCACATCAGGAGGAGAGGGAGAGCGGGATGGGGCCTTTTTTAGCTGCTCGCTGGGCTCATCTCTCTGAAGTCTAACAGGCCGCGGTTCTCTGATCCGGAAACTAGCAGGCCCGGAGCCGCGGACTGGGAGCCGGCACCCACCCCTCTCCGACCCGGGCTGGCGCCGGGCTGGGCCGGGGGCGTGTTTGTGGCCCTCGCGCTCCCGCCGTTCAGCAGCCATTGAGGCTTCCGAAGAGATGCGGGAGGCGCGGCCGCGAGGCGCCGCTCTGGGGAGGCGCCGGGACCACTGGCTGGGCGCCCAACACCGAGACCCAACCTCGGGAAGCCCGCGGCTGGTGGGGCTGGAGCGCATACCGGCAAGCGCGGTGCAGAGAAGGTGTGTGGCCCACCCCGGGTCACACAGTGAGTCAGGGCAAAGGCCGCCTCCGGCGCCCACCGCCACACTATGCCTCCTCCCCACCCTGCACCACGCCTCCGTGCCCCAGCAGAGGCGGTGTGTGGGGGACGCCGAGGGTGTCTGGGAGGCCGTGGGCGCCGTGAAGCCCTAAAGGGAAGGTCTGGGGCTGCGACTCCGGCCTCTTAGAACCCGGGCGGCGGTACCTTGCGCAAACCGCTGAAGGGCACATCCAGGGGCAACGAGAAGAGGTTCTCCACCAGCTGCTCGAAGGTCCGGGCCAGCTCCGCGCACTGCGCCTCGTCCAGACGCAGCCCCAGTAGGATGCGCGCGGCCATGCGGAAGGTGAGCGCCTTGGATGCCTGGTAGACAGCAACAGGCTCGCGGGCCGCGCACCAAGAGCGCACCTCGCGCCGCAGCGCCCCCTGCAGGCGCGGCACGTAGCGCTCCAACGCCGCGCGGCTGAACACTCGCGCGAGGACCTGTGGGGAGAGCGCGAACTCAGCACTGGCCGCGGTCCGGCCTCATCTGCTCCGCCATCCCGGAGGAGCCAGAAGGCCAATTCCCGTGCCTTCCTTCCCTTCAAGCGGCCAGGACCTAAACTCACTGGCTCTTGCTCAGCTATTCCCTTTTGTTCTGCTCTGACATACAAAGCACCTCACATCCATCCAGGTTCCAACTGCCACCTCCTCAAGGAAGTCTTCCCTGATCTCTAGCCAGGTCCGAATTTCCAGTGCTTCTGCCATCACAGTTACAGAAGGTCAGAGCTGGAGGGACTGTTTAGTCACAGTCCTTGCCTTATAAACCGAAGCCCGAGAGGGTAAGGGACTGGCCCAAGGTCACCAGCTCGTGTACCCCTAACGCATGGCCCTAACCTGGTTCACAGCAGGTGCCCGGGAACCGCACGTCTGACGTCCCGACGGCCCCTTCTCTGGCTTCCGCTCACCTTGCGCCGCCTCCGGTGCGGCTCGCCAACCGCGCCGAGAAGTGTGTGCGAGCCCAGCAAGATATGCGCGCTCTGCGGCCACTGGCTGCGCACCAGGCGGTGCTCGCCCAGCAGGATGGTGCGCACATTCTCGGCGCCACTCACGCGGATCACCGGCCTGCCCAGCAGGTGCGTCTTGAATACGGTCCCGTAGCGCTCCCGGCGGGAGCTGTGGAAGCGCGAGCCCTGCGAGCGAGGCAGAGCGAGGTGGGCTGGGGCCGCGGGGCTTCCGCCGGAGATCTGACCCAGGCCTCCCAACTGCCCCTTGATAACAACTCCTTGCCGCAGGTTGTTGCGTTACTCTTTACAAAACACTTTAAGTACAGGGTCCCTGGACCTCACGACTACCCTATGGGAAATGCAGATGCTTCTATATTCCCATTAGTGAGAAGAGGAAACCAAGACTTAGAACTGTGCCTTGAGTGCCCAAAGGCTCATAGCTGGGACGCGCCCCTGATTCCTCTTTCTATGCTTGGAGGAATAGGACGACACACTTCTCAGACCCCTTCCGTTCACTCTCGCATTGTGTCGGGAGGAGTTAAGTAGCACTGGGAGGACTCCGGTGATGCGCGGTCTCGGGGTGCTCTCGAGGGAGCGGGGATGGGGGGCAGCTGGACAAAGGCGAGGGCTGTGCTGCGCTCCCAGAGGCTCTGGGCGACTGGAAGGGACAGGCTACGAACCCTGAGAGCATCAAGGAGAGTCCAGCGGGAGCCGGGGAAGAAGGGGCCAGACTGGGGGGCAGGGAACAATGGGCTGCTCACCTGAACTAACCAGTGCAGCGTTTCGCCGAAGAACGGCCAGCCCATGGAGCCCTTGGGCAGGGGCAGAGCGCAGGTCCGGTCCCGGCTCAGCGTCCAGCGGAGGGTCCAGAGGTGCTGGGCCAGGCTGAGCAGCAGACCAGCGCACAGGAGAGCGGTGCCCGCCGCCCCAAGCACCGACAGACAGCTCAGCCCCCAGGGGAACATCCCGAGCCTAAGGGCGCCCGGCCACTTACAGCGCAGCGGGTATGAGTTGAGGCGCCGGTAGCGCGCAGGGCTCACCTGTTCCGTTGGAAATTGCCTGGAGCTTGGGGGCCAAGTCCAAGATTTATCTCGGAGAAGGAGGACTCTATAACAGACTGGCAGTGGAAGGCGCAGTGACCGTGCCCTCTTAAGGAACGTGCCTTCCTCAAGGCCGGCGCGCTCAGTCTCAACCGTGGGCACCTCCCGCCTCCTCCAAGCTTCAGCACTCGAAAATGCCCCCTCCCGAGCCCGCCCAGCACTCAATGGATAGCAGCAGCGAGAGAGGGCAAAGAGGGGAACAACTCACTGGCGCTGACAACCTGGGTTGCGGCCACCAGGGCTGCAGACCCCACCCGGCCTCCAGTGGTTTAACCCTTCTCGGCCCACCCTGGACACATTTATATGGATATTGGCTCCCTCCCTATGGACTGATACGGGTTCACCAAACGTGACGTGCCTATGCATATTTAAAGCGCTCCTTGCAGACTCATGATTGGAGGTGGTGGGCAGCGGCGCAGTCACCAAGCGGCTCTGGATAGGGAGTGGCAGCCGCTGCAGCGTCCCGGCTGAGCCGAGGGGCCGGACCCTGCGCTGATCTCCGGGCGGGGTCTGCAGTTTCGCGCCAGAACTTTCCGGCTTTTCGCAGGAGCCCAGCGGGTGTGAACTGACCGAGCTGAGCAGATGCGGGCTTGCACCCCGCAGCGCTCTTGGCCCACCACTGGCTGCTGGCTCTCTCTGGAATCCGAGGTGCCCTCCCTCCGCCGCCCCAAGGTTAAAGGGCTAGAGTTTCTCTCCTTTGCTCGGTTTCTCTCTCAGGAGCACTGCGATCGTCGATGCCTGCCTTGGCATCACAAGAACCTACCAGGGATAGCCCGTGCACAGTAATGCCCAGATTCTCTGATCACCCCTCCCCCCACTTTCCCTGGTCGGTCCCTGATCTACCACTTCGGGAATTCTTCAAAGACTGTAGTTTCACTGCTGCCCAAAGCTTTCCAGAGACGTGCTATGCCCACGAGGAGCAGATGTTCTCGGGCGCAATTGGGGGCTCAAGGACCGAATTCACCATTCCCTCCCTTCCTTTCAGGAACATGACCGGGGATCCCTTGTCAGCTTACACGGTTGCATCTCAGGTTTTTTGTGTCCCACACGAAGGTTCCAAAAGCCCTAGGACTCGGCGCGTCCTAGTCCCTACAACGCGACCTGGAGGGTGGAGGGAAGTGCGGGGTGCCTGAACTATTGTCAAGAGCAAAGGGAACTCCTCCAGGCACCACAGCTGAGGCCCTGCAGTGCTCTGCTCCAGGCGGCACAAATGCAGTGTCTCTCCCAATTTGCGGACGCCTCCGCCAAAGCCAGGAGGCATCGAGGGCTGGGAAAGGCACGAGAGAGGCAGCCACATTCCACGGTCTTCAAAGACGGCAAGCAGTTCACCGCTTCTCCAGATTTTATTGCGCCTTAAGAATTACCAGGTTTTCCATGTAATACTTTAAAAAATGTGAAATACTTTAGGGTAAGACTTGGTCAAGAGAACAAATGCTATCTCCTTTGGTTTGGTGCCACTCCCATTCCAATAACTAATTTTAGTTGTTTACTAACAGCAATTTGCCTTCTCTGAAGCAGAAGCAGTTGCTTTAAATCAGGAAGCTATGAGTAGACACAATAGGAATGTATTTTCAACAACTTGCTCAATCTTTTTAATATTTCATCACAAAATTAAGGAATATACATATAATTCTTTTACACTTATTTTACAGAGTCAAATATAAGTTTCTTACAGGCATAAATCCTGAAAATGCAAAGGGAGTAAGCATAAGTACAATGAAGAAAAAATACAGATCAGATTTATATTACTAAGTTTATTCCCCGGTAACTCATACAAATGAAAATGTACACTTGTGTTAGGTTTTCCAGAGTTCATTTGGTTTGGCTTGTTTCCACACTGAGGATACAGTACTGAGATCTGCTATATGTGAAGGAAGTAACCTGACCCCTGTGGTTCTGTATGTAGTAACATACCTACTTTAGCACACGACGCACCTGAAGTGGTTTGCCCGTTAACCTTTGTCCTCTCTTTTAAGTTGAACCAAACCAAACAAATCCTAGAATGGGGTCAGCTACAAACGGTATAGTTACAAATACTAACCCTGATGAACAGAAACAAAACTGCATCTTTAGAAAATCCAAACAGTGTTTCTTCATATTCAGAACAATTAAATTAACCCACCTAAGTGGGTTCTTACTGAGTCAAATCAAGTTTGATTTCTGGGAGCTTTAAAGATTTGTCTATTTCCCCATCAGAATCAGAGAAATTAGAAATTTAGTTACTTAAATCACACTGTGGTGAAAATAAAAGCTAAAAGTCAGAAAATAACTGTGATACACTCCCATATCAGACATGACTGCATTGCAAAGCCAGACACTTATGAAAAAACAATCCTTCAAGTCTAAACAGAAAAACAAAACAAAACAAAAACCAACTTATAGAGGCATACGTTTTCCTAATATATTTACAATCAGTTTCATATACAATTTTTGACCTGATTTATATATTGTTTTGCCTTTTTTCCCTAAAAGTGAAAAAACTGTCACACTTTACATATATAAAATAGTATTCAATTATTTAAAAATCCATAAAAATGAAATTACTGTTTCCTGTTAAAGCCCCCATTAGTATCTTTTCTCTATTGTATTTTTGAATTCTGCAAACTAATCTCTGTATCACGACCAGTGCTTGTTAGTGATCAATGTTGAGTCCATCTGGCATCACTGAATGCAAGAGATGTGAAGTCTATGTGTGCTGGGACATACCATTCACCAAACTTCTCAGCTGTTTCACAACTGTCTCTATCAACTTTTGTTTGTCTCGATCATTCTTCCTGAACTGAGCAAATATATTGTTCTTTTTGCTAGTATCCTTCATCCTAGAAACATATGTGAATAAAGAAGCTTAGTAAAAGGAAATTAAAAGCTATGCTGTTACAAGTAAAATATATTGGCATGCTCTGAACTATACCACACTGATTCTATGTTTGAAAAATGTATTTCAAAGAAAATAGGTACTAATAAACTTACAGATACAGCAACTGCACAAAAATCAGCAGCTTTTTAAAACATTCTATGTGAAACGGTGTTTTTGTATTAGTATGTAAATCTAAAATACGTAAGTTTTCTAATAACATACTATTTTCTAATATCATTCCATAAAGTATGCTAAAATACATACCCTCTATGGACTCTGCAAATCACATTCACAGCAAGACAAGGTGAAAGGAAAAACAGCATTAGAAAATTTAAGACAGTAATTTTATTTTTGCCTCTGGTGTTTCATGGCATTGTAAAAGTAAGTTCACATTTATTTTAAACAGTTCTTTGTCCTATCAAATCAAATACACCACAAATATTTTTAAAATGTGAGAAAATAATATACAATTTTACTTCAAAAATGGAAAATTTAATACTGATACTGAAAATATTATCAAGTGACGAGAAAACCTGCCACAAAATGAGAGGGAAAAGTAACACTTAAATTTGTGTTGTTTTTAGCTGGATAAGTTGCATCAGCAAATGTCCTGTTACCTCAGTTTTTACTACTTTTTAATTTTCCAAATCACATACTTCTCTACCTGCAAAGAGTCCAGGCCCATAATGGTAGGATTTAGATAGCACTGGTGGTAAACATTCCAATTTCTGGCCACATTTTACAAAATACCTTCTTTCCTGTGTTGTAAAAAAATTTAAGGGCACCAATTGTCACTTATATCTTCTGTAAACATATTTCTAAGCCAATTAAACCTGCTATTCAGAATACAATAGGAAAAACGTTTTGTTCATATCAACATAAACAGCAATCACATATAAAAACCACACCAACCCTGAAGGGCAAGAAAGAAAGGGGCTTATTTTTTGGTCATTAAAATGGACCGAGCTTTTAAGCTCCATTTAGCCATTTATTTTTTGATGGAAATCTCTAGTTTTTCATTTTGTCACTGAATCAGAAAATGCTACAATGTTATACAAAAAAGTTTTGAAAATATACTCACTTCTCCAAGAGAGTAAGAGCTGTGTTTGGATTCACCCGAAGGTATTTAGAAGCTGGTTGTCCATAATCAGCTAGATAAGTAGACCAATCCCAAACCATAAACAGGTCAAGGAGCTGCAGAAGATGCAAGAAACTGTTAAACCAACTTTTGATTATTGACCCATGGCTAATACATAAATCAAGTATATGTTATTCTTGATCATTTCAATATGAACTGCTTTTTAGATGGAACAGAATAAAGAAATTCATTTTTAAAACTTCATTCACTGCACTTTACAACCAAATTAGTATACACTATCTTTTTACATTTGAAATTTCTACAATTGTCAGGGGTGGCTTTCTAATAGAATTCTTTTATTTTTTTTTAGTTTTTTTTTTATTGTACTTTAGGTGAAGGTTTACAGAACAAATAGTTTCTTATTACACAGACAGTACGCATATTGTTTTATGACATTGGTTAACAAACCCACATGTCAACACTCTCCCTTCTTGAACTTGGAGGACCTTTTTTCTTTTTTGGTGAAAATATACATAGCCAAAGATACACCATTTCAAAAATTTCTAAATGTACAATTCAGTGACATCGATTATGTTCTTCCAGTTGTG